AATCATACGAAGAGTATATGATTCTGAGCTATACCGATAGTTCTCTCCCTTTCTTTCACTCGTGAGCTGTTCAGTATTCCCTTCAGGATCGGTGCAATTCCCTCCACTACAAGGAGGCTCATAGGAAAAACGTCCAAAAATTTGAACGATTCCATGTCTTCGGCTAAAAAAAACAATATACGGTAGCGACCAGGTCTGGGCAAGCCAGATGTTTTTCAAGTCACAACTCAAGTCCAGTCAACGAGAATTTTCCCAAGTCAAATCAAGTCAAGTCAAGCCACGTCTTGTAAAATTAAGTTTCCTTAAAAATTTTTCCAAGTCAAGTCTAATTCACGCAATTTGACTTGACTAGCCCGACTCTGGTACCGGCTCACATACTTTGAAAGCTTTCAGTCTTCTCATGGCACTTTCCAATATGTCACTGTGATCCAGCAATCCGAATATGCGATCAGTTTTTCCCGCTCAGTTCCCATTGGTCAGAAAATCGGTCCCACCCAGTCCCAAGAACTGTTAAGGTAGATTTGTTATTTCAACTCCTAGCGAAATTGATGGATATCTTTGATACGTAGAAAATTAATTTGTACGTTATTTATATTGTAGATTCACTCATATTAAGATTTTAATGAAACTTGATTTCGCAAAATAATGCAAATTTATTTCGTTTAATTATTGTTTCTGTGACAGATGCATTTTCGGGTACGTTGGATCTTTTTTAAAGTCATACTTTTTTTGATTTTTTTGTATTCTAGGTTGATCTATATGTGGAATTTTAGGTAAGCTTGATCTAATGAATATATTAAATTTATCAATATTGTTATTCTAGGTTGATGTATGTATTCGATTTTAGGTAAGTTTCATATATGAAAGTTTATAAATTTTTTTTTCTTTGATTGTAGGTTGGTTCGAGTTCGGAAATAAAGAGGTAAGTTTAATCTTGTGAAATGCTTGTACTTAATTGTTTTAATGTTATAGATTGTTTCAGTTATGAAACTCATCGGTGGGTTTCATGTTAATCATCTGATGCCGTCCGTCGTATGCATACCATTTCGAAGGTTTCTCGAAATCCAAGAATGATATATATGTCGTATCGAAGTTATATCGGTCGACGAAGTTATAACTCCGTCAAGAATGTAGACGAAGTTATATCTTCGTCGACCGGTGTAACTTCGATACGACACATACATACAGGGTGAACCAAAAGTCACTTTACCGAGAAAGAATGGAATATCTCCGTAATGACTCAACCGAATGGACTGATTTTTTTACCGGCGATAGAGAAGTGTTCGAGGTTTTCTTTCATAAGAAAAGTATTAAACCCTATCGTTTTGAAGTGTCATTTTTGATACGAATACAGAAGGTTAACTTTCAACGGAAAGGCATATACGATATTTTGCAGAGATTTTTTGTTCGATTTCAATTTCAAATGTAATCATTCGAGAGAAAAAAGTTGTTCTCTTT